TTGTTCGAAGCTCCTGTGCATCCTCAGGCAATTGTGTATCGTAGTAACACATCCGACTACACATTGACATTAATCCAGCATATCGACAAGAAATTGATATGGTTCTTGACGTTTAAGGCACAGAGCTCGATGGGAAAGCTGATTTTGCAGTAATTGTCCATTGCTTTATAATAGTATAAGGAATGAACTCTGTTATTTGTTCAGTTTTCAAAACTGTAATGATGTGTGAGCAAGGAAGTCCAACGGATTGTAATTTCAAGCAATTGCATTTGATGGTGTGATTCTAATAATCATATATCACATTCCAATTGGATGTTGGTTTTGTGTACTTCAATAGATAATAACTCGAATGAGTACTGTGCTGAATTTTTTGGACCACGAAGAAGAGTCCTTCGTCCTTTATATGATCCCGCACTTTTAAAAAAAAATTGACCTGGTATATAGTGAGGAAGCGTGCTGGTCTAAGCAGCGTAGTGTAGTGGTCAACACTGGGGTACTGTTTTCAGAATAATGATTATCATAGGTTCGATTTCTCAGATTCTTGATACACCACTATCATATTGTTTAACAAATTCATACAAACGAAGCCTTGTTTTCAGGAAATGACTCAAGTAACCATTCAAGCTTTCTGAGCATTGCGTGCTTTTGATGCCGACAAAGAAATGACCCCGCAAGAATGCTTCAACCCATTTCCAACGCATTTCGTACACATCTGATATCCAGTTGTTATCCTCCAGCCCAAATGAATGTACCATTGATTCTCACATAACGTCAAATTCCTCGGGTGTACATCGAGAGCACATACATTTCTTGAACTTGCGAAGAAAATTTTCAACATGAATATTTTGAAATGCATTCCTCTCCAAATGCCAGGTGCATAGCCTGTATTTAGCGTGTGAAAATATTCTTTCGATTGCGGCGGCCATGGTCTTGTCCCCATCAGTGACAACTGATATAGGCTTTTTATTATCCATTGCATCCATAAATGTCTCCAACACCCACACATATGTGTCCACGGTCTCATATGAAAGTAATGCACATCCAAAAATGCAAGTAGCGTTGTGGTTGTTTACACCTGCAAGTATGACAAATGACTTTTTGTACGCATTGGTCTAGTATGTTGTATCGAATACCAAACATCACCGAAACATGAATAGTCAACACGGGAAGTTGAATCCGCCCAAAAGAGGCAATTCAATGAATTATCATCTTCAACACTGTACCTGAAATAAAATAATGGGTCTAACTCCTCTTTCGCGCTCAAGTATGCTAGTGCACCTTTAGTATCCACATCAATCATTTCCTATCTTCTTTGGCTTGCAACAACGTTGTGCAAATCCTTTCGGGTAAAGCCAACATTTTGATAGCCGCCAGCTTGATGCAACATAAAATCTCGTATTTGGCTACTGCGTATTCCAACAGTGCGAAGTGTTGTTGCTTGGTCTATGTCTGGGCTTTTCACACGACGATGGGACTGAAGGAACGACACTCCACTCAGTGGAACCAACAGGTGGTTATGATCATTGACAAACTCCTTCATTGCCCATTTTTTTGACTTTCTATCATACTTAACTCGGAATACTGCCAAACAACCAACTCAAGTTATTCCCTTTTGATTCCCATGCCCTGTCATCCCGGTCTAAGTATTTTGTAGCTCGAAACCCTTGTCGTGAGCATACCCATTTCCTTGTGACCGGGACGTGGTTTTTTTTTCATATTTTAAGTCATCTTTCCTGACACTGAAACCTACAAACTTAGTGTATGTGTTATAAAAATTACCCGCTTCAGCTTCCGAGTTAAATTGCACGTGATTGACTTCTTCAGCCGACAAGTCTTGTAAATTTTTTTCCAATTCGACAACTTCCGATTTACCATGACGATGTACATATTCACCATTACATGTGCCAAACTCAAACATATCAATATATTCAGGTGTTTCATTCAAGTCTATAACGACATGCATTTCCTTCGCAAAGCTAGTATGATCCATTTTATAAAATACAAATATTTTTTATTTAATAATATTATTAATATTTTGCAAAAATTGATAATTATGGGATGCAATAAGGAAGTTGAAATTGTTGTTAGACATATATTTGATAAACCAATTGAATTACTGTAATGAACACATAATCAAACAATATTCTAATGTATTCAAAATAAATGGCATTCAAAATAGTTGGTATCATGTATGACATACCTGTGGAATTTACTCTCCTCTCATGTAGATGTAGATATGTATGGTTCCAATCATGTGTCAATATCTTCAACTTGTGATGTTGGAGTTGGTTCACGGTAACTACATAAAATTTGAGCTTTCATCTGATAAGCAGTAGTTGGTGAGGGTCAATAACTTTAGGGTGGTATTTGGTTGGTAACTGTTAATGGTATGTGATAAATTACAATGAAGATTGCATGGCTTTTCAGCAAAATTGTAAACTATTTACCACAATTGCGTTCAAATACACTCATAAAAGTTGTAACTCCTATGGGTGTAACCAAGTACAATGTAATTAATTTTTTTTAAAAAATTGGCATTAAATAGGCATTCAAAAAAATTTATGGATAACATTTTAATAGTAATTATTATGATATTATTATATTAATTTTAAAAAAATGGGTAGGCGAGTATTAAAAGGGTTGACAAGAATCACTTGAACATTCACTGCACAACTAAACGTGTATGACGGGTTAACCCGTTTACCACGAATGAGAAATTTACTCATATGAAAACCCGATTAATTATTTTCGATTGTTGTTGTACATGTCTTGCACGTCCTTGTAAGTCCATTAACAAATTAGTTTTAATATATATACCCTTTGGATTTGAGTAGTTCACAATTTTTTTTTTTTAATAATGGTTCAAATTTTGTTTTTTTTTATTTACTTAGTCTGATTAATTTAATGCCAACTATAATTTTATTTGGATGAATTAAATTACATGTTATGTTAGGTGGAATATAGTAAAATGTAGTTTATATTTTTAAAATCGATTAAAAAAATTCAAATTATCTTGGGGAGATTTATAACCCCATTTATGTTATATGAACAAACAAAACACCCCAAAATAATATGATATTCAAAATTCATTAAAAAGAAAAAAAAAACTTACCCATTTGCCCGCCCAAATCCCCCAATCGTTAACCTCCCTTTTTTCTCTCTTATTCTACTCCCTCTCTCTTTATCTCTTAGAACCGATATTTTCAAAACCCCTTCTCTTTTTCCTTCTATCTGTCTTCCCTCTCTCTCTCTCTCTCTCTCTCTCTCTCCATAGCGGTTCGAGTGGTTTGTTGCCCATTCTGACAACGGCAAACTTAATCACCACAGCCCCACACAACTATCACATTCGACCTTCTCTCTCACCGTCAATCATTGTCAGATCCACCGCCACAGCCCTCCCAGGTAAGTCTCCCTCTTTTCTCCTTCTCTCTCAACTAACAACACACACATACACTCGCAGTACCACCCCCTCCCTCTTGCCCGTCTGCGCAATCCACCCCCTAAAATTTTCAATGACTTTAGGTGAAATTAGTTTGATTAGACGTAATTTTAATTTGATTTCATAAGGTTCAATGAATTTTTTAAGTACTTCATGTTTGATTTTGGTGCAAACTTTGTAGTTATTTTATATTCGATTAAATTTATTGGATTGGTAATTGCATTTCTTCTACTTGAATTGATTTGGTAATTGCATCAGTTTAGGTTACTTTAAGTGTGAATACTTAGGTTGTGTATCTTTCGATTCCAAATATTCTGCGAAGTCATCATTCTTTATTTTTATTTAATGGATGGTTGAATGAGTGCAAAAATTTGGATAGTGTTATCATGCCCTAGTGGTAGTGGCATATTATTCAAACCTACATGATGCCAAAGTCTATATATGTTCACTTGATCACTTGCCCATGCACCCACTTTTATGTCTACACATTTTTTGTTTTAGTTCTTTTTAGTTTCGTCAATCTTGAGTGTAATTGATAATCCTACTTTGTCATTCATTCATTTGTATTTTGTTAAGGAATTCATTTATGTTGTGGCGACAATTGATAAATGATTTGGTTTTAGTGGTGAGTTATATTTATTTTGTGAGTCTTATTTGGTCCTTTGATATTGTCAAGTTTTCGCCATTAGTGCATTTCACAAATACAGTAAGTAAAGTTGTTTTGTTCGTAATTCATGATTATTGCATTGATTGGATGTTCATTTGTTTAGGCATTGAGTGGATGTTCATTAGTACACTATCCTTTAGATGTTGAATGTACCAATATCGTGAACAAGAATCTACTTATATTAGGTCTTATTTACCACTTTCCGCAATGTCCTTTGATATTTTGCTTGTTGTGTACCCACTATTTATAATCAATTCTAATCCAATAAATGATGTTTTGTAGGTAACGGTGATTCATTTTAGAAGCCCTTTTGTGGAGAATAGTAATTACATTTTCAGCAAAGACAATGTAAAGAAATTTGATTGATCTTGCACCAAGTATATGTTATATTTTCCCAATTTTTATTAAATGACAACAACTTGCACCAGGGTAAAGAGAAAACGAATGGTTACTATTGCCACGCCAAGGAACCGACAAAGGCGAAAACGAGTGGATAGTATAGGCGAGACATCTGGACAAGTATGTTATAAATTATTACATTAAGTTATTTAGACCATTATGCATATAAATAAACCTCTTTATGTTCAACTTGACATGTACCGATCCGTATTAATAGTTCCATTACTTAACATGTACAACATTATGTAGCCACTATATGTTCACCAAAAAGACTTACGAAATTCACAGCAAATTTGAATGCCGCACAAAAACAAGCCATCATCAAATTGGCTTGGGTGGATTGCTAAGCATACAAGGCACATAAATCAGGTGTGATTTGTGTGCATGGTTGGCCAGACGATTTGATCCCCATCAGTGTGCTTTCAACTTATATGGGAAATGGGCAAAGTTCAGCCCCCAAGGTGTCACGTACATACTGGGGTTGCAATTTTCAGGGACAAATGTGGTGACAACGGGTACTAAGGACAACATTACTGATCTTTCTATGTCTATATTTAATGGACAAGCGGAGGTTTCTTTGAAACATTTGTCGGAGTGCCTTAGTTCAATGACAGATGCCTCTAACGATTTTATACGGCTGTTTGTTTTATATATTATTGGTTGTATGCTTCGTCCTACAATGCAAACAAAGCTAAGTGTTGTTGTATTACACTCTGTTGTTGACGTGCCTTCATTAAGACATACTAATTAGTGCAATTTTGTATTTGATGGAGTCATTGAAGGCATTCAAAAATTTCAAAGTTCCGATTGAGGATCATTGGGTGGCTATCTTGTAGTTTTGATGGTAATTTACTTATACGTGACGTGATTGTTAATGTGTATGTTTTATACAATGTGTAAATAGTGTCTTATGGTTATCATTTTATTTGGTATACAGGTTTTATATCTAGAACACGTTACACCAAGAGGACAAACCATCATTCCTATGATTTTTCGTGAGGTCCCACGAATTGTAGATTGGGGTGACAGCGATGTGAATAAACAGATGAATGATATCTTGAAGTTAGGAGGCTTTCACCTGGAGGAGGTATACATTATATTTTTTTTTACATGCTTTTTCATATGCACTGTTGTATGGTAATGTCTTAGATAGTATTTGACGCGCATATTTCTTTTGTTTTATGTATGTAGTTGAATGTTTTTGTTGAGGAGGAGCTAAGTGATGGTGCACTTGGTACCGCATCCTAGCAAGCAATGTCAGATGTATGTAAATATATGATGTATAATGTATATATTTCCCAAAGAATCTTCCTAATATAATATGACCACTTAATACATTTACCTCAATTTATTTGTAATTTTATTTTTTTGGTAATTTGTGGATGCAAATATATGCATTTACTGTGAATTATTACGTATATTGGTTCATAGGATTTTGGGGTAAGAATAGGAAGACTTGAGGTTATAGTCGAGTGCATGGAAAAAAAGTTTGATACTTTTGCATCACACTGCACAACTTCTTTGTCTTTGATGGAAAAACGACTAGGTGAGATAGGACAGTTTGTGTCCCAATTTGTTGATAAACTGGCGACCACCAAGTGATCTCACGCATGTGTGCATATTATTCGTTGTACTGGTGAAACCGTACATGTTTAGAGCAATGTATTACCACATCTCTTACTGCTGACTTGTTGGCGTGAACTAACACATTGGTGCAACTTTATACTGTAGGTTGAATTGGATGATCCACAAGTAGCAGAGGGACACCAACCAGTTGAAGAATGTTTTATTGTATTGTGTATTAAAAATTGAACATGCATTTTCATGTGAGTGGCACTTTGAACCCCTTATGTTCCCAATTTTCGTTGTTGTAGATGGTAGATGTGGTGTTCCCATGAATAACCCATATTGATGCTGATGTGGAGCGTGCAATATACATTTACATATTTGACAAAAACTTGCCATTTGAGTATGTGTTGGTGTACGCTATATTTGACGCCATATGTTATGAGTAACAAATTATACTTGTTTCATTTTCTGTTAGTCCACAACGAATTAAATTAATGTGTTTTGTTTATGTATAGTGAGATTTTGGTATCAGTTAGTGACCATGATCGAGGCAAGAGGGGAGTGTTACAGACCCTTGCACCGAACCAATGGCCGAGTGGAATTGTACAATAATTTTTTTTTTTTTTATAATTGTTTTGATGTTATGCAAATGACACTAAAATATCTTGTAAAAAATATTAGGTAATTGATATGTGTGTCTGCATCGCTCCACAAACGGGTCAATGGTACTTACCAACTATTTTCTCTGTAAGTGCACGTTTTCATTTTTGAAAATGGGAAAGTTGCATTATGCAATCAAAAGTTCGAGCCATGTGACAAATGACCAATGTTGGTGAATTTATGCTGCAACAAGCAATGTCAATGCAACAACAAGCCATGTCAAGCAGCATCACCCGTAGTCAAGGTGCAAGGGTAACTACAAAAAATCAGAAGTTTAGTCGACTCCCACTACCTGATTTTACAAATACTACACAGGTAGTCTATATTTTTGTACATGATCCATTTTTAATTATTTTTTTTTGTAATTTTATATTATGAACAATTGTCTGTTTGTATGTAGATTTATATCCCAATGAACGATGAACAATCATATTGGTATCTAGTAATAATGGATATAGAGGGGAAACAAACATTCCTACTCGATCCTTTGCCAAGTCCACAAGGAAACAATATTCGATGCACAAATGCGAAAAGAGTTGTAAGCTACTTATTCTTTTCATTTAGAAAATGAATCATTGATGAAACAACTTTTTTTCATAGCCAATTACATTCCAACTTGTTTTGTAGATTGAAGTGTTGGACGACATTCTTGCAAATAGGGCTCCCACTTTTAAACACAAATTGGGCACGTGGAAGCTTGTTAAACCAGCATGGATGCCCAAACAAGACAATGATTTTGATTGCGGAATTTTCGTTGTGAAGATGATGCAATCATCACATTTGGGGCAAGGTTTTACAGTAAAAGTGAATAACAATATATAGTCCATGTTATTGTCTGCCGAATATTTTAAATAATAATACAATAAAAAAACTTTATTTGTAATGGTTCTCATTTGTTAATTGCATGATAAGAGTGTAGACATTCGAAAGGAGATGGCTATTAACTTGGTCATCGCTGAGGAGAACAATATGAGAGATAAAATCATACACATGGCACTACACACACCGTGACGTGTGTTTTGGTTCATTGGGGGTCAAGGAAGGGTCTTGTAACTGATGGTGGTGGAGCAACTGTTTACAAATGTACTAGCATTTGGTTCATATGTCCAGTTTTACTATTTTTTTTTTCATATGTCCAGTTTTACTATATAGATAGACTTATATATAGTTTTGCACAACTGAAATCTACTTTTTAAAATTTTAACGGTGGATTTGTATATAGCACATGCATACAAACATATATGAATTCCAGAATACTCGCTGCAATCATGCTTGATGTCCCTGGGTATTAGTGGTTATGATGTATGTTTTTTGTTTGATTGTGTACAGGGCAAAACATAAGAAAGCTATTTTAATGCTGTGGCAGACCAATTATACCACCAGATTAGGTATGGTAAAGTGTGTATGATCTCCAAGGGGAGCTTGAAACTTGCTCAAAAAGCTGTCAATCACTTTCGTAATGATCATGAAATTTTCCAAGAAAGTACATCAACATTAGAGCCTTGATATGAGGATGATAGCTCAATCCCACAACGACAATTTTATTTTTTTAACCCTTACCTGTCTCATCATGATTGGAGAACGCCACTCCTACGCGATTGGTTACAAATAATGGAGATTTTAATTGGCGATGTGATAGGTGTGAACAGACCGTTGATGAATGTGATTATAGGTATATTCTCTAGTTCAAGATATAGGATCACACTTGCTTGACATGGGTAACTGCATTCCAGGAATCTGGTGAAGAGATCATGGGTATATCTGTGAAAGATTTGTATTACTTGAAATATGAAGACCAAGATGAATAGTTCTACTGGCATGTATTTAAGATGTAACAGTTGTGGTGGTCCTGGCCATAACTCTACGAATTGCCCGATTGTTATGAATGGTGAGGGACAGTCATATGGAGGTAGCTTTTGCAATAGGGTGTCCTAAGGGGGAGGTGCTAGTGCTGGTCCATCTGATGAGTGCTTAAAATGCAATCAATTTTGGCCGAGGGTGATATATTTTCCTGGTCGTAATGTTCCTCCAGCTTATGGAAATGGCAATGTCACACATGGAGTATATGGTTGTAGGGAAATTAAATGCTGTGAACATTACTCTAATTAGTTTTTGTGAACATTGTTGTTGTTCTCCCTTCTTTGTTGGTTCCTTATATAGTTTTTGTTTTCCATCGGTGCAAGTTTAGTTTTTGGGTGTCATTTAAATTTGTACATACTTCTGCTATACATATGATTCAATTAATGTTTAGGTTTTTTAATTGTTTTTTGGGGGGTGTCCATGTTGATTTTTTGGGCCCATTGGAAAGAAAGGTGTATGAGAAGAAGCCTTGATGTCAGGGCATGCTTAAATGTTTTGGAAGTTCAAAAGAGTTATGGATGTGATTGGGGAGTTTCTTAGTAATTTGCAGTTTCAGTGTAGACATGTGTACAGGGAGGCAAATGAGGTAGCTGATTTATTGTGTTATTTTGGCAGTTAAGTCTGGTGGCTTTAGGGAATTTTCCAGGTGATTGGAATTCTGCCATTGCCTGGAATGTATTATGTTTTTGCTGCATGATACAACTCAGGCCTACTATAAGAATGAGGAGGCTTGTGTTAAATGGCCAGTAGGTTTTTCCTGTGGATTCAGGAGCTGGTTAGAGGTCTTGTTTAGTGGAAATGCTATTGGGTTGAGGTTATTTTTATCTGAAGTCATCTGGTGAGTCAGGTAGGAGCTGATCTGTGGAGGGATATTGGAGTGCTGGTTTCTGGGTGCCATTACTGCCACTCTATTTCTGCAAAAGAATCTGCATCAAGGTAGGCTGTACAGAAGGAGGGTGCTGGTATGCTGTTTTGTTGGACTGCAGCAGCTGTAGACAATTTTGTTTTAAATTGTTTTGACATGTTTTGGTTTGCTTGTATTGGTGAAGCTGTTTGTGTTTTATGTTGTAACAGTTACTGGTTTTATTATTCTTGTAATGTTTAAGTGTATTCAATACATATTTTTCTTTTTTAAATAACAAAAATTTTAAAAACAAAATTGTGTTAGTTTTTTTTTATAAAAAAAAATCATACAATTTCTTTTTCCTTTGTTACACCCTTTTGGTCCTCCCACCATGAGGGAGGGTGAGAGTTGAATCATATTTGGATATGATTTTCCATTCTAAACCCTAAATTCTTTATCAAAGATACATTAAGGGAGAATTAATTCAGGTGGTTTGGACATATTTATAAACAATGGTGTAGTATGACAATGGTAAGCTAGATCAAATTGATAAACCCATGTGTCACACATGACTGTTGATATTCTGGAAATCATTGCAGTTCTCTTTATGTAGTTTTTCGTTGAGCGGGATGTATGGTGTGATTGTTGGCATGATGCAATTGTGAAGTTAAAATGCATGTGCAACTGTTTGGGCAGCAGAAATAATGTGTCAACCTCTCTTTATGTCAGTTATATTGATGTCAAGCTCTATTTATTTCACATACATTTAACACGTGTTTATCCGCATCCAACGAGACGTATTTCACGTATTCACACGGAATGAATTGATTCACACAGCGTTGTGCAAAATTTTTCATTAACCACAAATAGACCAGAATAGCTACGATTTCTTCTTGTGCTTTGACCCTTGGAGTCTCTTCAAGGTTCTTACCCTTATGTACTACCTTTTGACTTCACATATCTGCAAAAGTAAAAGTGATTCAAGAATGATTTTTCACTATAACCTCAAGGTTCTTATGCTTATGTACTAGCATTTGACTTCACGGATATGAAAAAATAAAAGTGATTCAAGAATGATTTTTCTCTTATTATGTTGTCTTGAAGGATTAAAGCCATAATCTTGGCTAAGCTATTTCTTTTTAAAATGTGTTGCTTCTTGGAATTTTGCATATACTCAATAACATTTATCTTTTCCTTAATAATACATATATATATACTCATGATGTACAATCCGTCTTTCCCATGAGTGGTGATGGCTTGGTTAAACTAATTGCTATGTGCATTCGTGAAACAGTGTACATTCTAATAACCTGTC